GCCATCTAGACCTCTCAGAGACCGTTAAATGTTTCCATAGGAAACAAGATGAGGAGTTAAAAATCTCTCAAAATTATGAATAGGGTAGTATGCTAAGGAAAGGAACCAAAACAAAATGGATAGGCAAGTGGCCACCAAAACCGAAAAAGAAAAGAAAAGAAAATGCTCAGTACTGACCAAACACGTAAAAGAATATATAAAAAAGGAAGAAGAAGATAAAAAAAAACGAAAACAAAAACAAAAACAAAAAAAACCAAGAAAAACAAATCACTCCATCTCAAATCACCGTTTTTTTTATTTGCGGTGACCCGATTCACGTCATTTCGTACATTCGATCGGGATAAGTTAATTTACACTCGTCTTGGTTACACAATTATAGGTGATGACGCATATTTGCTTGGTTTCAAATAACTCATTTTGTGAATATTTTCTCCGACATTCATGAGCCGTAGTCAATTAAACCGACATTAAGAGACGAAAATTTGGAATTTTACTTTTGCAATGGAGACTGTATCGCTTGAGATGTATCCAATGGGAAACATTGAAAGTATGGTTGAACCAAGACCATACATGCAAGACCTTCCTAGTCGTCTGGCTCGCCATTCTGCTTCTACTGTGATGAGGAGTCAGGCCTCTATACCGCGGAAAAGCGTTGGGAAAACACTCCAACGAACTGGCGCTTTGAGAGGAGATGGAAATTTGCAAAGCCAGCAAGACGAAGTTTCGCCAGGGCCTATGTGCGACCGCCAAATGATCGACTGTGGGTTTTCGGCATTGCCTGAAGAAGTCTTAGAGAGAGTGAATTTCAAAGCTGTCCCTTTACCGATGTCACTCAAACGCCGGTTCAAGGATTCTCTTCGGGCAAGAGCTCCTACGAGAATTTCGAAAGGGAAAGCTTTGCTGATGAGCGTAACTAAGGCATGGACTCGCTTTCGAATCGCTTTTAAAGAAAGCCTTTATTCTCTGCAGCTTTGGCGCGGACACCTCAAAGAAATTGAAGGGCAGTTCGGCGGCGGTGTAGTCTCGTACTTCGTATTTCTTCGCTGGCTAATGTTGCTAAATTTATTTGTCTTCATGATGGAGTTCGGCTTTGTTTCTCTTCCAACGCTAGTGATCTGTTCTGACACGTCTGCGAATCACGCGAACGGTCACGCAACTAACGTGACAAGCTGTAGATACGACTCTGCTTATTCCGCTTCAAACAAATCGGACAGCGGTATACTGACTGTAGTGTTAGACTTCTTTACGGGGCAAGGTTGGATCAGTAACACAATTATGTTCTACAGTACTTATCCGTCGGATGTTATTATATCCCAGGAGGGGGTGAGATATCTCTTACCGTTAGCTTACCTGATGACCGGGGGCGCGTACTTCCTATTCTGTCTCCTCATCTTAGTAAAGACTGCATCGAGCGGCCTAAAACAAGGGTATATCGATAGTGAGGGCGTGTTTAACTCATTTTCTAACCGCCTGTTCTCTGCATGGGATTACTGTATTTGTGAACGGAGTGCAGCTATACATAAAAAGCAGATTATCGTTAAGGACTTTTGCTTTGAATTGGAGGAAGAAGAAAGATTGAGACGAATTCGAAACCGTACAAAGAAACAGAAAACGGCCTTATATGGAACTCGGATTATCATTAATCTGTTCATTGTCCCAGCTCTTTGGTACGTGTCATTCGTGCTCGTGTTCGGCGTCATCTTCTCCAAAAAGGTCACTGAAAAAGGAAGGAATCAGTTCGAGCAAATGCTGATTCGATCGTCGTTGTCTTTAGCTATTACAATACCGAACCTTGTCCTTCCACCGTTGTTCGAGTTCTTGTCGGTATTTGAGGACTGGGGCCCAAAATTTGAATTGGGGCTGAACCTTTTGCGGAGAATTTGTGTCAAGCTGCCTTCCATTGCGATGTTAATGATCCTCCTGTATAAGGACCTTGGTGAACGTATCCAGGACGACTCGTTGCCGCTATCAGCGCATTGCGAACAATGTTGGGAAAACGAGGTCGCTGCGCAGATGTACATGCTTGTCTGGGTCGATTTCTTTGTTGTGTTACTAATTACCCTCGGCGTTGAAACGTTTAGAAAGCTTCTTTACAAACACTGCAGCTGTTTCCGCAAAATTGGAATGGCACAGTTCGATATTTCTCGCAATGTCATCGACTTGGCGTACGGGCAGTGTTTGATTCTGATTGGCACGTTTTTCAGCCCCATTCTCCCCGTCATCGGCGTCCTGAAACTAATCGTGTTTTTCTATGTAAAGAAACTGAGCCTGTTTCACAACAATCGACTGCCTGACAAACCCTTCCAAGGCGCGAAGCTGAGTTCTATTTTCGCGCTTCTCCTACTCGTCACGTTTTTAATGTCCACAGGGCTTGTTGGTTGGGGCGTGACAAAAGTGCCGACATCTTACTGCGGACCGTTCAAGAATACGGAATGCAGCAAAGAGAAATTTATCATCGATGAATTATCCTTAGTGGTCTCGAGGTGGCCTGAGTCGATTCATGCGACACTGCGGTTCATGCGCACAGCGGCGTTCCTCCTTCCCGTCATGATGGTGGTATTGAGCCTACTCTACTATTACCGCTCAATGGCTCATGAGCACCAACAAGTGATTAAAACATTGAAGGATTATCTCATCGTTGAGGGACAGTTTAAGAGGAAACTACACTCTCAGTTAATGTCCCAGCCATATAGCGATATAAATGAGCGGAAGAGATCTGAAAGATACAACGAAGAGGACATATTGTTGGCCTCCCTGTCAGACTGAAAGGGGATTTTACGCTCTAACTGAAAACTCTGAAATACGGAGAGTAAAATTGCTTGGCAGCTATAGGCTGTGTTGCTGATGTGGCCGACGTAAAAGGTAGCAGGAAAAAAAAATTATGCGAGCACGACGTTTGGATCTGAGCAGCTCCTACGCAAACCTCGGGGAAGGCGTTTTACATTACTGTAAATCCCTTCACCCCCACTCTCGTTTGTGCGCGGTTATGTCAAACTGAAAACTGTGTTATTCCCAATCAAGACCAGACAAACGATTCTCTAGCCCTTAACTGTTTGTCTCCGTATCTCTCTACGTATGATTCATTCCATCATTTCTTCTGGCAAAAAAGAGATCATTTATATTACTGATTGCCTTTTAAAAAAATTTCAGTTGTAGCTTAGTTGCTGCGGAGCGGGCTGTGTACGAAAGCAAACTATCTAAGACGAATCGAAATGAAAACGACCCATCATATATCTTCCATTTCTGCCTGCATTCTTGCAAAACATCAAATGTGAATAAAGATGGAGTAAATTCTTTGAAGGGCGCTTCCCAACCGGAATATAATTTATGCTTATTCAAACTCGGAAATAATCATAAATGATGTAATCTGTATTATGGCAGCAAAATTTAATTGAAAAGAAGACTTTGATCGTGCGCGATTTGCTATTACAAGTTTATCTGAAGAGGGACACCTTAGTGTATTTTTCTCGGCATCCGCTCTAACCGTTCAAGCTTTACAAGCTTATGTTATGACTAAAAATTTTTTTTCCTCATCTGTGGGGGAGGGAGGGGGATCAATTGTCGCCAAAAGAATTCAGAGGTGACACTCCAGAGAATCGACCGGCACTTGACTGCCCTTAAGGGAGATCATAAGAATTTTGCAGAGCCTTGTGGGGGGAACAAATCCACCCACCTCCTCCACCCCTTGCGATAAAAGGGACGGTATGAAGTCTCTCCCGGACCTTAAAAATTCGGAGTTCATAAGCAATTTTTTAGCTCACAAACCTGCACATTTAAAATTACTTTTCATTATTTGCTTTTGATGACCTATAAAGGCCTCTTAAATTCGCGTGGAGTTTGCTATGACATTGCATTTTATGGCTGAAGCAAAGAATCGCCCTTAAAACAAACTTTACCTACCATTAGCTGGAAAAAGGTTCACTTGCTCAAGGGACGTGCGGAAGTCATTTAACACAGCGGACGGAAGGAAGCGGGTGTCACAGCAAGGTAAGGCAACAAAATCAGCAAGTTAATTAGAAAAGGAAGGAGGTAATTATTACAGCTATGAAGCCAGCAATTTCCTGAAATAGGATGTAAAGTTTTTTTCAGCTTTCAAGAAATCATATAAATGCAAATTAAAGGCTTTTACAAGGTTCGTCATATAATGACGGAAAAGTAAACTAAAAAGGTTGTTAGATAAAGATGCAATCCTTACGATGTTTTTCTAAAGCATATCGTAGCTTTTAAACTGAGATCGGTTTTCTTGAAATAAAATAAAAATTTTCTTTTATAATCGTATCATATATCCTCATTTGGTTGGAACTTCTAGAGTAAGTATTAAGTAACATAAAAACCGGCCTTTAATGAGTTAACCGCATGAAAAGAGTATTGTCTATTTGCTCTATAGAAAAAAATAAAAACTTGTCTGTAATTGCTTATTTAACTAATGCACGCTTTTTTTGTAAGTTTGTTCGGCTTAAGTGTCAGTTAGTTTATTAAAAATACCGCAACATTTATTGAAATTGAAACTATTACTAATTATTTAGACGTACTCTGTGCTTCACAAGAGCATCTACCTTCAACCGACCTCGGTGGAATAGTGCTGTTACATCAACGAAGGTTTGAGTATATGAAAAGGCTCTCCATAATGTTGGCAAAATTATTGTAGATCCTGGTCTGAAATGATTGAATATTGCAAGAGATGACACTTTTCACCAGCTGCCGTATTCTAAGCAGTGAAAAATTAGAGAACCTTTGCTACAGATAGCGATACTTTATTTCACACTTCATGCTCTGCTATTTCTTGCAGCAATTTTGTTGATTTCTCTCAATCATAGAGCTTCGTTGATGGAGTAGAAATAAGTTGAATTTTTCTTTCAAAAAAAAAATATGATTAAGTGCTATATTCGTTCAATAAGTGCATTACACCAGCTTTGACCATTGGCCATATTTGGCTAATATACCTCTTTGTGTACGTAGTTGCAGTGTTCTTCAAGTTAGAGCGTATGAGTGTCTTCATGATGGAGAGACAATTTCTAGCTTTTCTTATCATGAGTGCAGGTGAGACGCGTTCAAAATAAGTGCGTGAGTCTCTAAGGGAATATGTTTTCAATTCAGGCTTTAACGAGTTCGTGCTAATTCAGGTGGGGATGTTTTTCTGACTCCCAAATTGATACAATTCGCTCCTGCGATTGAGGATGGCTTCACTTAAAGTAAACATTAGTATTTCTCAAACTTTCTACCAAACCTCACTGGATGGGCTATCATATACTCCCCTCACATATTGTTATCCTGTTACTTAATTAATTTAAACTTATCTTTTCCGTCACTAAGTCCACAATGTAAAAATAGAATCTTTTCTTTTTGTACCATTCAGTCCTGCAGACATTTGTTCTGGATGTGACGTAAGTATTCCAGAAAGAGAGAAACCTTTTACAGACACGTTTTTCTTAGTATTATCAGAAAAACTAGACAGAAAAAAATCGAAAACTATTTGTTTTGAATCTTCTAGCTCGCGAGGCCGGCTCGGTTTCAGAAATTTCCGCGGAAGGACAATTACAACGATTCGAGCACACTTACCACTGCCGCCAACAAAAGCCCCTTCTACAACTCCAAGCACAACTGGTAAAATAAGAGCGGGTAATGGTGCTAGAAATACTCAAAGTGTATCTGTTAGTTATAGTTACTCTAAAAAGACATTTTTGTCAAAACGTACACCATCAGTTGCCAAAGTTCCAAAAAGTACAGCATCAAATGTCGAAACTAAGGCATTTACTCAGGCAGAAGATAATAACACAAGTGCCTTCTATAATACCACACAGTGGCCACCAACAGCGGTCACTGTTGGGAACTCATGCGTCACCAGTGGTAATAGTATGAACACAACCCGACCTACGCCTTCAGGAACAGCGTCAAGTGTGGCAATAACAAGGAGTGATAATATCGCCAATGACTGCAGACATGAAGAAGGTCACAACCGCGACAAGACCCAGGTATGGTTGCTTGAACGACAGTGAATTAGTAAGTATGACTGCAAGTTTTACTTCTCCAGCGTTTGCGTTACCATTTCGTTATGATGAATCAAGAGAAAAACAGAAGGAAAACGCGAAGTGATGTTTGTGTCAAGCTACAAATAAGCTTCGATCCATTTAAACATTTTCGTTTGTTGTTTATCTTTTTCAGCAGCTGAATTTAATTTCAAAATCTTGATTCTTATTTGTTCCACAGAAGTCAGATGGGGCAGGTATTCAAAAGATAGAGGAATTCCTCACGAGTAAAGGTTGCTTTTCAGCGTCGTTTGACGAGGTAATAAAATCATTTAAAGCAAGGGTTGCTGCAAATGTGAACGACAATCTTACCAGTAATTGCAATGAATCTTTCCTGATAGCAAAATGTACAGTATAATAAGAAGTAATATCTCCTCTTCACGGAAGCTTAAAAAAAATATTAATATCTTTTTTGAAAGACAGAGAGCAGACGAAGTGACATCCATACTAAAAATAAACTTCTAAATAATAGGAATCAGGAGAATTTATTTTCGAGAGCCCTGCAACCACAAAGGAATCCATGAGGCACGAAAAAATTCTGAATACCCTTGAGACGACACTCATGAGCTTCTCTATTACAGCAGAAGTAATTTCCTTTGCATTCCTCTCAGTTGTAAGGTATGTAAGTAAGAGCTAATTTGGAGAACCAGAGGCTTAAATACCGTTGGTGTGTGAAAACGGTGGATTGACAAGTATAAAAGGAGGAGGCGGGAGGTAGAGGGTAGAATGAACTTATAGTTTTATGGACTTGGGTACAATCCAAGTTTAATAACTAGCTTCATGCACGGAAACCGAAATAAATTCTTGCGAAGACGGATGAGCTATCAAGCTTGGAAGAAACTATTACTTATTAATTTTTGGCTCTTTCTCCTTTTTCGAGGAAGCTAGTGTGTCTTCGAGAATTAAATGGTTTCCATCCCTGGATTTAGAAAAATATTATAAGAATGTTTTGCTGACGTTTGTTTCAAATGTGGTAGAGTTTCAAAGTCGGAGCGGATTTTCGTGCACAAGAATCTGCTCATATCGCTGGCTTTTGGACATACAGTTTACATTCTTGACATAAATATCTTCCCATCAAGGAACATGCACCATGTAAGTACAAAAATTAGATAATAGAAATTAAAAATGGTGGCTAACTGTGACCTGCGATTACTAACTGTCTTGCAACTTATTTTTCTTGTGGTGAGGTGCTTATGTAAAGTTTATAGGGAGTAACATAGTGGTTTTCAAGTTGACTGCTGAATCATAAATCCAGTGATGCACAACTTAAAACATTTTCTTCATTACAATTTTTCAAAACGAGACAGCAAAGAAGGATTTCATGAGCGTTAAAATTGAAGGCTAAGATAAGGAAAGTTGTAATTGGGGAGAGCGGTTAATAACTCGGTGGGCTCCTCTACTACCATTTCGAAAATACAGCTGCTTCTAAAGACGAATTTGGTGCTGTTCTGTCTTCCTTAATTGAACCAAGGCGAATTTTACAAACAATAGGTAGGATTTAGCTCGTTCACGATACTCGGAAAATTTGGCACTTACAGGGAATCTTCACCAAAGCATTTCTGTAGCGTCATCTCTTGAACCTTACGTAGACTTCCATTTTCTTTTCACTAAACAAAATATAATCTAAAGATGTTTAGTTCGTATGGCTTTAGCAATAAGCTGTTGCATTTAACTGTAGGTTTTTAATCTAATTGTTTGGACCGGTTCTCCTTTTCAGACCATATGCTCTGTTATTGCTGCCGTCCAGCACTATCTCTACACTTCTCTTTACACTTGGATGTTGATTGAAGGAATAAACCTTTACTTGAAGATAGTGAAGGTTTTCTCTTTTGGAAATTCATATGCAACATACAGCTTGATTGGATGGGGTAAAATAATGAATAAATTATGAATAGGAGAATTGCTTGTCAGTGATAAGTTATAATCTGTAAAAATACTTCTGTTGGTTTTTCCGTAAAGTTATTGGCTTAAGGAATGCAGTCGTGCTCGTCATTCTTTATCCGTCAGCTTCACTGAATCTAGTTGTTCACCCTATTTGGTGCGTAAAAACCGCTGTGTTATTAAAGTGGGTTTTCTCCTAAATATATAGGAGTACCAGGGGTCATTGTTGGCTTCGTGACAGTAATCCAACCTTCAACATATGACATGAGTACAATGTTGTATAAAGAGATCATGTGCGGAACACTAAAACTCACGGGAACAGTGAATAGAGAAAGGTATCTTATTTCACTGAAGTACCAACTAGAAACTAGATAAAAGCTTAAAAATACGTTAAGTATATGGTGAATCGACGTAATAATCTATGACATACATAAATCAAAAATTATTTGTGCGCTTTCACTAAGGCCGGATACGCAACGATGTTCGATACTGTACTTTGCGGTTTCGTCAGGCGAAAAACTTTGACATTCAAATGACAGAGAATCTTGGGAAAGAAATTATTCGTTGCAGCGGACAAATACTACCTTAAGCAAACCACGACGGCGACGGCAACGAGGATATGGAAAGACAAAAGATCTAATTGGCAGAACAATAGCTCAGCACGTGCGTTTCAAAACTTAGTACATTTCTAAGTCGTCCTCTGCAAAACAACAACGTGAGATCACCACAATTTGCGTCGTCTGCGAACCGAAACCGCGACGACAAATTATTTTAATTCCATTTTCAACTCAACGCTTCTCTTTTATGCGTTATGCTGAAGTTGAGGTGTGGCGCCGTATGTGAAGGTAAACAAATGCAGCTATTTTTTAAATTCTAATTAAAGGCAGAAATTCATTTTTTAATCGAAGTCTTCCTTGACGTTGCCGTCCTAACTGCTTAAGGTCTCTAATGAAATATGACAAACGTGTAACTTGAAAGGATGTTTTGTAGATGACCGCATGCCTTGTAATCAAGTAGACAAATAGAATAGGAGCGATATATCTTTGAGGAATTACTGTGAACTACTTTTACTTTGTAAAAAGGTTTGCAGGCCTCTAAATGCACATTCGAACCGAATACAAAGATCCTCATACAACTTTTTTCTAATTTAACTTCGGTGTTTGCATAAACTGGTGATTTTAATTTTGATGGTTTCAGATGTTGGCTCAACGGAAGTGTCTGGAAATTCAAAGGACCCGTGCTGGCCATGCTTCTGGTAAATTTGAAGTCATTATTGCTCTTAATTCAATCAATATACAGTTCTCCAAAAGCGTTTCAGCTTAATTTCGGGTGCTTTTTTTTTCGTTTTTTTTTCTTCCTATTTTAACTTTCTGTGTTGAAGACCTATTCCCTAAAATTCATTTTAACCAACATCTAGAGACGTCCAAAATTTGTTTAAAAGTCTTCTCTAGTCTGTTTTCCGCCTGTCAGTTTCTTTGCCTTTTATCCACCGTAGAACAATTGCTTAAGAAATATTGAAAGTTGTCTTTAGAAGTTAAGAAAAAACTGTTTCAGGGGAGACGTTATAGATAAGAAGTGGATTCCTCCTAGCCGCAGGATTTTTCAAATTAGTTTCGAAAAAATTTTAAAGAAATTAAAATTTTTTAATGGTCGCTTTTCATTATCCTTTTGTCTCCAAATAAACTGCGTCTGAAATTTTAAAATAATCTTCAATTTTCATTCAAACAATACTCAAAGATAACTTTATCTATTGGGCCTTAGGATTCACCAAGTCGCTTTGAAGTAAATTGCATTTCTTGCTAGTAAATCTGTTAGAAAGCACTAACGTAGCCTATTAAAACCTAATATTAGGCCATAATTTTGCCCAAAAATAAGGTTAGTGTACATTTTAAAAGCGCAGTTTTTGCGTCTGAATTTAAACTAACGCTACTTCTTCAAATCTCTAATGCTATTCTCTTCATTGGGGAAGCCAAAATCCTTCAAACCTGATATTCCATCAGAGTATTTTGAGGAAATAGTGGGCAACACTCCCCTTGAACTCGTTCCTTCCCATGTTAAAGTTTAGCATGTTGTCATGACTTCTTTTTTTGTCTCCATCTCAGGCAAACCTTGCGGTCTTTGCTGTTGTTCTGCGCGTGAGCTTTGGCCGAATTGGACGCAGGAATTATGCGCAGACCACCAGGTAAATATAGGTAGACTACTTTAAGCGTATATCTACAATTTTAAACAAGGTGGAGGGTACAAATCTTCTCCACGGCGTCTTGTGCGAAAACCTGTGTCAAAAAGAGAAAAAGGAACGAAAAGCAAAAGCGTTATTGAATTAATACCAT